CTGGAAGCCCGTCGGGGGGGCGGGGGGGACGCGCAATGGGCGGCCTGCCGCGTTGGGCCTCCACCCCGGCCGACCTGGGTTTGCAGCCTTTCCGCCCTCGCCGTGGGAGATAGGCCCAAGGGGATCGCCATGCAGCACTGGTTACAGGAATATAAAATCTCCCCGTTATCCTCGCGGGTGTGACTCTTAAGGAGGGAAACGGTGCTGAGGTGAAAGGATGCTTCCCGGTATTGGATCAGCCTTTACGCACGTTGGAGGAACTTCCCTTCGGGCATGACTGCGGTTCAAGTGCTTGTGCCTTAAATACTCTGCTCCTGCTTGTCTCCCTGCGCCCTGTTTAGAAGTGCCCGCAAAAGCTGGTGAGGGGCTGGGGGTGGGTTTTACTCCCCTTGCTGAAAGGGGCTATTTTATTCTTGATGTTGATCATACTGTAGTATACAACCTTTGCAGGATCTTGTCCTTTATTTCTCGTTTGCTTTGTAGGCCCTCTACTTTCTGCCTTTAATTTTATTGTAAAAATCAAATTCTTGTTTTGTGTGTCATGGTGCTCCTTTACTAAATCGATACAACTTGTTTATCTTAGAGATCAAAGTTTTATCTTAACAGTAGCAGTTACATTTTACTACAGAAAGACCCGGGGGCATGCAAAACAAATGAGACACTGCAAGTAGTCACTCTTTGAGTAATGGTTGGTTTATTGTAAATGTATAAAAACATCGCTTAGAATAGTTGTTCTCAGTGTGGGAAGGATTGATTAAAGAGCGTGGGGTTCCAGGAAAATGCTGTCTAGATGTTGTCTTCCTCGTCCTTGCTCCTCTTTCTCCTCTATGATAATCTCACTGTTTTAGACAAAAGTGGGCAAAATAAGAAGGGGTAAAAGCTCTCGCTCTGAGGCGTACTCCAAACATGCAGCTTCTTGTGGCAGGGAGGGCAAGGAATTGCTTCCTCCAATTCGTCCCTTTTGATGTTGAGTGACAGGCTGTGCTGAACGGCAGGAAGAGGTTTAGTGTGTTACATGTATCAGTACTTGGGGTGTGCCTGCCTCTCTCCTGAGCTTTGGCTTCATGGCTTAAGCAAGGCTTTAGTGGGCCTGGCTCTAAGGAGCAGTTCCTCAGGTGAAGGCTGGGGCTGAGGGAATCTTTCATGGGGGAAGGGGGAAATGGGGGAGAGGGCAGAATGTGCCGTGGGGAAGGGCCTGTTGCCATTGGGAATGCAGAAAACTTGGAGTGGTTGTAGGAATTTAGAAAGAGTCAGCAGGGAGCTGTTGTTTGGAGCTCGGGTGCAGGTGTTTGGATGGATTAGATTTGGGCTGGTTGTCAAGGAGAGATTGTGGTGTAGGAGTTTGAGGAATGCCAGAGAACATTTGAGGTTTGTTTACAAGTGGTGGAGATCAGTGAAGGAAACTACAGAAGAAAATAAGTCTTTAGGTTACAACTGTATTCAGTTTATCTGCAGGAGCATTCTTCCCAAAGGTATTGTGAAAAAGTGCATCGCTGTATTGTTCATTGTGCTGGCACTGGCATCCATGCGGTCTTGTGGTAAATGGGATCTGGGAGGTGATAGTGGCTGAAAAGTCAGCTTTGTCTTTTTTGTCCAGAGTAGTTTTCTTCTGGATCAGTTCACTGCTGCAGCTCACCAAGCCACCTATATGAATATCAGTCTTGGAACAAACAAGGGAGGGAAGATGGCCTTTTCTGTGGCAGCGTGCTCAGAGTTTATTGCAAAGAGATTGTGGAAACCACTTTGTAGTGGCATATGGAAACACAGTGTTTAAAACACAACCAAAAAAAAAAAAAAAACCCCAAGAATGGCTATCCAAAACAATGTGTTTCTCAAAGCATGCTAATTCCTTTTTGTGTATTGGCAAAGTTCTTAGAAATTGTCACTTTGATTTCTGTGTTTTTAGTTAGAGGAGAAACATGCCTTTGTTTGCCAATAGTATTACATAAAAGAACAGCTACCAATCATATGACTGTTTTGCAGAGTTGATTTTATTGTTACTAGGATGCTGGGGTTTTTTCTTTATAGAAAACAATATAAAATATTTGAAAATTAAGAAATGAATGAATTAGGGAAAAAGGCCTTTATGTTTTACATTTCCAGTTGACTTTTCATGTTGTGATTCTTACATGGGTCTGTGTTGTCTTTGTAACTGTGTGGATATTACAAAGATGATATAAAGCAAGGATATAAAATAGGGGGGAAATAGGCTTCCCAACTCTATTTGTACATTTCAAGATAGTATGGGCAAATTTGCTATGGTATTCTAGTATTTGTAGGATTCTAGTCATTGATGATCTGAATGATGTGGGTTTACAGTCATTAACGAAATGCATTCTATTCTTATTTGTGATGTGCCACTGTTAAGTTTGTGGGCATTTAAAAAAAGAGAGGGGGAGGGGAGGTAAAGAATGGATAAGAAAGCATGGCAGATGTACAGGCACTGAATAGATGCTTTACACTACTGTCTCAATAAGACTTTCTTTAATTCAGCGTATGTATTATGAGAGAATATTACAAATTCTGTGGGATTTCTTGAAGATCCTCTTTTGTTTTGTCCTGATTGTATAATCCTCATTGCTTTTGAAACTTGAATCTCTGAATGAAAATGTGTTTTGGCAACAGCTTGTCAACTACTTCAACAAGATTTTTTTACTTGAAAGCTGTCAGGAAGATTTAAGTAATGCTTAAACAAGAGAAATGTAGACTAATAAATAACTAAAAATGAAGGATAGCTAAAATGAATCTAAGAGGAAGCAGTGTTTTGCTAGTGTAAGTGGGGATAACTGTCCTAAAATGTCTTCAAAACCTTCCATGTGGTGTGGAACTTTTAAAATAGCTTAACAGTCTGTGTACTCTGAGAAAACGTCAATATTAGTGGTGTAGTAAAGACTCTTAAAAAGAATGTTTAAAAGGAATTGGAAACAATTTTATTTGTGCTTTGTTTTTATTGCTAACAGTGACATTTACTTCCTCATTATTGTGTTGCTTGTGGTGAGATAAGCCTGATTCTGTTATGTATCTTGTTTTTGCTTGATGGTCACTTGCTGGCTGAGACTGATCTAAGATGCCTAAAGATCCTGCTGTTGTGTCATTAAGAAACTTTTCTTGGCTTCCTCTTTGGTCATTAATGTGACTCAGCAGCTGACAGGTAGTGGACTATCCATCTTTTAAAAATGTCTGGGTCCATCTTTTAAAAATGTCTAGGTTTCTGTGTTAAGGTTTGGCTGTTTGGGGGTGGGGTTTTTTCGTGGGTTTTTTTTTGGTGTGTCTTTTTATTTTTTTTAAAGCTGCTTCCAAGTACTGCTAAAAAGCTTAACTTCCAAGTTTGTTGCTGCTGATGACTTTGCCAAGCTAGTTTCAGGGAAGCTTTAAGATTGCAGTGCTGCCAAAAGAAGCAGTCCTGTCTGGCTGCTATTGCAGCCTCCTGTGTTGGCCCAAATGTTTGTGGGACTGTGTGATTAACCATATCAGAAAAACCATTTGTATTGAAACTAACCCAGGTGGTCCCTACATTTCCTGATCTAATTCAGGATGTGGCTGCAGAAATACTTGTGCTGGCATAAGGGACATCATCAGGAATGTGAAGAAACAAAGGATAGGAGAGTTGAGACTGTTCCTTTAAACTGGCAGTGCCAGCTTATTCTGGTTGAAAGTACTGTGGAGATACAGCAGCTTCCTTTGTAGTACCCAGATTTTCTAACACAGGAGTTGAAATGGTTGAGAGCCAAGCGAGCATCTCTTCTTTTTTTCTTTTTTTTTTTTTTTCCTCTTCTCCCCTATATTTAGGGCAGAAAGCAAGAGAAAAAGAAATTTGAGTTGCAAAAAACCATGTGGATTACAGCCCTGGTGTTTCAGGCATAGACGATGTTCCTAGCAGTCATGGTCCTTCCTTAAAAATGCTTAGTGCTAGTGATGACGCCTCGTGTCACATTCTTAATACGCACCTTTGGCAGACTGTGTATCTTCAGTGCATGAAGCTTATCTCTGGACTAGTCTCAGAAGTGAGAGGGGCAACTAGTCTTTTGATTTAGTGACCTTGTGTAACAGCATATGATACTTAGCACCTTTTTTTCATTGCCCTTTACTAGTCCTGCCCTTACTTGACATGGTGCAATCACTGCAGACTGACAGTGAGCATGATAGTGTACAGGAAGAGGCTGCGAGTGATTTTATTTGGTACTGTAAAACAGTATTTTGTAGTTGCGATGCTTTCAGAGGAACGTGTACTTTTTCTGTGAAAGTGTAAAGCATGTAGAAGCTAACTGTTACAAAGGACCTGTTTTCCTATGTATTTCTATATCTACCACTGTTCATCTCTAAATTAGCTTTAATAGAGGTTAATAAAATTTTAGATTCTTGCATATTGTGAGAATACTGCAAATACTTGGAAGATTTTTTTATTTATTCAATATTTAAGGTTTTCTATTCAAAACTCTTTTCTTTTAAAATGTTATATCCATACCCTTAAAAAAATTAGGAAGAAGGGTAGCAAATAAGTTTTAGCTGCCAGGGTTGGACATGGTGTATCTAATGTCTGGGTTGTTTTTTAAAGTGTGGCAGCTACTCACTTTTGCCAGTTGGTAGAAAAGATTCCTAAAAGTGTGTGGAAGTGACTGCCAGAGTTTGAGCTGTAGTAATTTAAGATCCTGCATTCTGCCTAGAGGTTTTAAAGGTGAAATAACTATCTTCTTCTATATCCCCAGGATCTAAAGACTTGTCTAAATCAGGATTTTTGGATTTCAGCTAGCACCAACATTGTTTTTAAAAGTCAGAAGTAGAGATGATTTAAGTATTGATTTAAAATCTCAGACCGAACTTCAACCATTTAGCTGAAGTTTGTATTACTTTTTCTGTACTAGACTTCTGAATGCCTTAATTAACCTCTGCTAGCTAATACCATCTCGCCTTTTGTCTAGACAAGATCTGAAATGGTCCGATACACTACTGTGCTCCTTCAGAGAGTCATGCTTGCTGATGATGAGAAGTAAAAACTTAATCTTATTAAAGCATGTATTTTATAGAAATTGGAAATATCTTGGTCCCTACTAGTGAATGGTAAGTGGACATTTGACAGCAGTGTTTATGAACACAAGTGCTACATTTCTTCTTTTAGATGAAGAAAACATCTGTGAACAAGTGTGAAAGTGTCATTTAGGAGCAATGGATGTCTTACAGCTTTGGCTTTAATAAATAAATTGTTGAGATGCAGAATTTCTGGGAGATCCATCTCGTCTGTATTGAATTTGGACAAAGTTCCGAGTTGCTTGAGTGGAATTGGCAAGCTTGCTTAATGTTGAGTCAGACTACAAATGTATACATAGTCTTAAGGTTTTGAGGCAATTAAAAGCTGAGGCCAGTGAAAAATTCATACTTCTGAGACTGGTTGCATTATTGCAGTTATGCATTGTTTCTGTATACCTGTAAAAGAGCTTATTTTTGGAGGAGATGTTGGTTATTTAGGTAAGCTCATACACATACGCATTTTAGACAAGAAAGTATAACAGAGTAATGCTTGTTTAAATGTAGCAAAAGAAACCTAAAGACAAAGTTTTTACTGTTGTCCTAAGTCCTCATCCCATTTTTTCCCCCAAAAAAAGTAGCTCCAGTTAAGTGTAAAGCTGTATGTTAGAGTTCAAACTGGTCAAACACTTTGCCACTGTCCTTTTTGCCCCCTCCTCCTGGCTGCATGCTGTTCTTTCCCCCATAATCCAGCTCTGGCACTTGTCTGGCCCTTCATTAAGCCAGTTCTATAACCCAGCCATATGAAAGTGTTTTCTGGGTATCAAGAACCTGCTCACTGAAGGACCCAAAGGGTGTCGGGGCTGTTGTGAAGGTGAGGATAATGCATTGTACAGCCATGTAAGCAAGGCTGAAGGAGTGATCGTGTATGGGAAGGGAAGTAGGATTTGCCCCTTGGCAGTGGCTAGCCCTGAGTTGCACCAGTTCTAACATTCAACTTCACTGAGTCCAGGAGTAAATTTGCCATTTCTTAAGTGCAGTCTTTTAGTGATAAACAGATTAATGTTTTACCCATTTAAGCAAAAGGTATTACCTGCCCTTTAGTAAAAGTTCATGTCTTTGACAGTCCCTTTTTCTGTTCTATAGGGATCAGTATTGCTGAAAGCACAAATAGAGAGTTTTGAAATAATTGCTTCATTGGCACCAGCTAACGGTTTGAGGTAAGAGTAACTTAATTCTATTTTTAAATGTTCTGATTGAACCCAACCATTTGAAGTGAGAATTGATTTTGTTTTCCTAAAATTCATGCTTGCAATAAGAAACTAAAATATACACAACTTTCTGAAACTAGTGTATCTCTTGTAAAGGTCAACTATTGTACAGTATATATGTACTTGTCGTGCATAGAATGCAAATGTATAAATGTTATTGTTAAATACAGGGAAAATGAAACAGATTTCCTTTAAAGCTGAGATTGGATTGTATTACAAACTTCTCGTGCATCTGAAGTTTGATCTGAAAATTACTTGTATTAGCAAAAAAAACACTCTTGGAAAATTGGTATGCTTCATGTCTTACAACAGTTTAAATTTAGAGATTTAATGTTGCCTGTGAGTAGATGAGAATAAGAGATGATAAATCATTTTCTGTGGGTTTAATTGAACACAATGAATTAGAAACCATCTTCTGAGTATAGGTTATGTAAATTTGCTTTTTAATGGAAGGAGCCAATAAAAAACAGCATTCAACATATTCTTCTCCAAGGTAAATAATTTTTTCATGGTTAAATGGAAAGCTAGTTTAGGTTAAAATTAAAATTAACTTTTTGTTGGGTTGGTTTCAGGTGAGGTTACATCTCTTTGGGGCCATGCAAACTCTTGTGCTACTGTGGTGAGGGAAGTCATATGGGGCAGGAGGGACCAGTTGATAGGGGAATGGTCGGTCTGCTTTTTCTTCTGGATTCTTTTCTATAAGTCTAAAATCTCTGCAATTTTGTTAACTTTAAATTAAGCTCTAACGCTGTGTATTTCTCTTTACATAATTGAAATATCACCCAGGAAACAAGAAAAATACTATCAAGTCCCTTGTGACAGAAAGTGCTTATTGTGTTGAGCTTGTATTTTCAGTACAATAATTTTAGGCTTTTGTGCTTGTTTGCAATACAAAACCTAAGTGTTTTTTCTATTTTTGTTTTAATAATTATTAAACGATGATTATAGATACTGAGCATATAAAGGCTTGAAAACGTGTAGTTACTTGTCAACAGTCTTATATTCAGGTTGTCTTATGTGACCCTTTTTGGCTTTTTTTAAAGCTGGGCAATTTCAAAAGAGAATGGTAATGGGTCAAAGTTTTTAACAATTAAATTGGGTATTTTTAGCCACTGATCTGAAAAGAAAAGGAAAAGGTGTGTAATTTTTTTTTATGGTTAGCAGTAATTAATTCTAAATATTTATTATGACTGTATGTAAGAAATGATACTTTATTATCAGTTTATTTTCCTGTAGGACTCATTGCTTTATAATCAATTGTAGCTTTCATAGCTTAATTTGAGCTGAAAAATGTTGAATTCTGTTACAAGCCATATTATTTAACTAGTTGTTAAAATCTTTAAGAAGTTGGCCATGCATTTTACATGTTGTTTAAAAAGCAACGTTAACCTAGAAAGATGCAGGGTGGGCATATTGACCAGTGGAAAATTGGATCAGAGTGATTAGCCTTAGTACATGTGGTTAAGAGAAATAATACCCCTGGCTCAAACCAACAACTGCTGGACAGAATACTTCAGGGCTTTATCTTTGATGAAGAAGGTACGTTGTAGGGGACTATGAAGTCCTTCCAGAGAAGCATCGGCATATTGGAAATGCAAGGAAACTATAAACTACAGAAGTAGCAAGAATTTTGTTTAAAATATATTTAAATGTGTATTTGTCCAGACTCACATTATTTCTTGCTTTAATTTGCAGAAATATTTTTTTCTCTTGCTTCCTCTGCTTCTACAGGTTTGGTTTGCAGTTAAACCTGGAAAACCTTTTACACTTTATCTTTTCAGACAAACTGCATGCACTGTACTTCCGTTAAATTCTTTAAAATGTGGTTGAGCTTTTAATTTACTAATAAATGTACTCATATCCTCCTCAAAGTTATTTTATTTAGGAAATGTTATAGCTCTTCTGAATATTATCATTTTGTTCATTTATATGATATACACGGACTCTAAATAGTTGCTTCTCTCTTTTTTTTTTTTTTTTCCCCCTTCCTTCCCCTCGCTGCTTTTCCTAAGCAGGAGTATATCTACTGGGAAAAATGGGTCGATCTAACTCTAGATCACATTCTTCAAGATCAAAGTCTAGATCTCAGTCCAGCTCTAGGTCAAGATCCAGATCACATTCTAGAAAAAAGAGATACAGGTAAATTTATGCCTTACTGTATGAAAAATTGGTTTAATATATTAGATTTTGTCTGGAAGTTATTTTTCACTTGCATGATGCTGTGGCAAAAGTGAGCCTGGGATCTGCATTTTAGGCAGTAGGTAACTTCTGCTTTGAATGTAATTTCAGTTACTTTGTTTAATACTTGACTGTTTCAGAATGCTAATGGTTCTTTTTGATTTGTGGCTTGTTTGATTCTTCCCTGCCCCTTCACATGATGTTTTCTGTGTTTAGTCTTTCCTTGTAATTTGTTCTGTATTTCTCATGCAGCTTTTCAGATCTGGAGTAACTTAAGGCTTCAGCAGATAAGCTTTGCGCTATCTTTTCTCAGTTGGCTCCAACCTTTTCCTCACCTTTCTTACTAGTGGACATTACCATCTCCCATAAAAGAAGTGGCTGAATTGAATGTTTACTGCCTCATCAGCTGCTGTCCACAGGCTGGCGTATTAAACTGGGGGTCATGTAACTTCGTGTTCCAGGCTGTGAACCATGGTGGCTGAGGAACTGAATGCTATGTTCCAGAGTGGTGGTGATCTCTAATAAAATGGCAGGGCAGGCCACTGAGGCTGGTAATGTCTTAATCATGTGATGCTGAAGTCTAAGTTTCACAGTCCTTAGGAGTATAGGCATGTTTATTACAATCCTTTGAGGCAGAAATAATATGTAAAGATAGGTTGTAGAACTTACTTTAAAGACTGTTAGTCTGTTTCCTTTACCATTCTGACTGCATTTGATAAATCTAGCATTTAGTGTCAAGGCACTTTTTTTCAATTCTCCAATTGTCAAATGTTAATGTTTTCTTTTTAATTTTAGTTCTAGGTCTCGGTCAAGGACATATTCACGGTCTCGCAGCAGGGATCGTGTTTATTCTAGAGATTATCGCAGAGATTACAGAAATAATAGAGGAATGAGACGTCCCTATGGTTACAGAGGAAGAGGTAGAGGGTATTATCAAGGAGGAGGTGGTAGATACCATCGTGGAGGTTATAGGCCTGTCTGGAACCGAAGACACTCCCGAAGCCCTAGGCGTGGCCGTTCACGTTCCAGAAGTCCAAAACGAAGGTCTGTGTCTTCCCAGAGGTCCCGGAGCAGATCTCGTCGATCTTACAGATCTTCCAGGTCTCCAAGGTCCTCTTCATCTCGTTCTTCATCCCCATACAGCAAATCACCTGTCTCTTCCAAAAGACGTGCGTCTCTGGAAAAGCAGGCAAAGAAAACTGAAGGGGCTCCTTTGCAAGATAGCCCTTTGAAAAATAAATCACAAGATGAACAGAAAGATACATTTGAACATGACCCATCAGAGTCTCTTGACGATTTTAACAAATCATCAGCAGCTTCTGGCGACATTTGGCCTGGCCTTTCAGCGTATGATAACAGTCCAAGGTCACCCCATAGTCCTTCTATTGCCACCCCACCTAGTCAGAGTTCATCTTGCTCTGATGCCCCTTTGCTTAGTACAGCCCACTCAGCAAAGGACACACCTCAACATTCCCATTCCATTCAGCATAGTCCTGAGAGGTCTGGCTCTGGTTCTCTTGGAAATGGTTCTAGCCGCTATAGTCCTTCTCAGAATAGCCCATTGCATCACATCCCTTCGAGGAGAAGCCCTGCAAAGACAATCCCATCACAGAGTGCTCCCCGTGAGGAGGCTCGAGTGAGGTCGTTTTATCCTGAGGGTGGTGAACAGGAAACTGCAAAAGGTGGAAAGTTTATGAAAAGGTAAGAATTAAATTATAAGCCTAATGTTGCCTTTTAAAATGCTATCTATCACAGAGTTTTGACAAGATCATCACCGTGCCTTGAAAAACGCAATATAGAATAAATATTACTAATTTAGTCTGGTTGGAATTGAGCTTGAAACGTATGCCTTCATAGGTTTCCTCCTAAGACGCTTCAAGTTCTTGGCCATTGGCTAGTGGAGATGGGGACATGTGTCCTTGAGGAAAAATTGGTTTTCCTTTATGGTGTGCTTTCTTATACTTCATTTACTGCTAAGAAAAATATTAATTGGAATAGTGTATTAGACTTCCTTTTTTGGTAGCGAATTCTGTTCAAGTATTTTAAGATTTTAATGCTTCATGTAATTTGAAATGCAAATCTTCTGGAAGTCTAAAAATGCAGATGTTGTACAATGATTTCTTTGTTAACATAAACAGCATCCATTGCTAATTGTGTGGTGCAATATGACAACTTTGATGCCTTGACTTGCATTACTTGTGAAAGAGGGTAGGTCTTGGTATTCTTGGAACATAATTCTATTGATGTGAAGGACAACATATTTAAAGTTGAATGTATAATTTCCAGTTAACATAAAATTCTTAAATTTGCTCTTAATGTTTGATATAGTAGTAATTTTTAAAAGTTATCAATATCTCACATTAGTCTGTTCCTTTCTAATGTGACTAGTACTTCAATGGATTTCTTATTAATTACACAGCAAAGCTATGACTGTGCAATATAGGTTTGATTGTAAGCTTTTAAATGAATTTGTCCAGTCAGTGATTTACTATGTAAAAATATATTGCTTAGAAGATCAAAAATAGAACTTCCCTTGGGTTAGATGTATTGGAGTTGGTGAACATAATAGGACCTATGTGAAAATAGTGCACAGACAAGGCAGTGGCTGAAATAATTAATTGGTAAGTGTGTTTCTGTGTTTGAGAGAGCTGCCTCCTAAAGGTTTCCTGCTTGAATATAGTGAATGCATTAAGCCTGTGTCACATTTTGGAATTCTCTTAGAAATGTACAGAATCTTGAAAATCACTCGCTTTTGGTACTCCTTTAACCTTTTCACTGAAAGAAGTAGAAAAATGAATTGCAGTCTGAATTATCCAATTTCATGTGAATTTGATGGAGAAATGACTGATGTAAGAGAATGTGAAAGTGGGTACCAATTAAGAAAGAACAGACAAACTACTAGCTTTTTTATAAACTCAAGCAGAGAATTTCTAGGTGTTCTACAGAAAGGCATTATAATCTTCAGATGCCTCTAGTAGTACATAAATGACAGTGGGTACAGCATTAATGGTGTGCGAAGAGTTGCATGCTAAAGTTGAATTGCTCAGAGGAATGTATTTTCTTCTTCTTGGTGTGGGATTGACACAAAAGAGGAATGCAAGTGAACTGGAATGAATGCAATCCAGAGTTACCAGTCTCTTCTTTGCTATCCACAGGTACACAGATGAAGAGTCTAGAGTATACCTGCTTGATAGGGGTAATACCAGGGAGAAGGAGGCCCAGAAGGAGAGAGGATCAGAAAAAGGGAGGACAGAGGGAGAAAGGGAATGGGAGGAACAGGAAACTTTAGATTTTTTCGTTGATAAAGAGACTGGGAAAGAAAAGTTTAATGACTCTGAAGGGGAGGACACAGAGGAGACAGAGGATTACAGACAGTTCAGAAAGTCTGTCCTGGCAGATCAGGGTAAAAATTTTCCTACTGCATCTCACCGGAATGCTGAGGAGGAAGGAACCAAATACAAATCTAAAATATCAATCAAGGGCAATAGAGAGAGCGATGGATTTAGAGATGAGAAAAGTTATAAGCTTAAAGAGACTGGCTATGTAGTGGAAAGGCCTAGTGCAACAAAAGATAAGCACAAGGAAGAAGACAAGAGTTCTGAGAGACTAATGATGAAGAAAGAAACTCAGTCACCTGAGCAGGTAAAGTCTGAAAAGCTCAAAGAACTCTTTGATTACAGTCCCCCTCTACACAAGAATCTGGATGCGAGAGAAAAATCCACCTTCAGAGAGGAGAGCCCACTTAGGATCAAAATGATAGCCAGTGACTCCCATCGTCCTGAAGTTAAACTCAAAATGGCACCGGTACCTCTTGATGATTCAAATAGGTAAATTATTCCGTTTTACAGTGTGGTTCTCCACCTGCCTGCAGTGTCATTCATCTTTATTTAAACTAGTGGTTTCTTTTTGTGTGTCTTTGTTTTGTTTTGTTGTTGATGCATTTTAGACCTGCTTCCTTGACTAAAGACAGGCTGCTTGCTAGCACACTTGTCCATTCCGTCAAGAAGGAGCAAGAGTTCCGATCCATCTTTGACCACATTAAGTTGCCACAGGCCAGCAAAAGCACGTCAGAGTCATTTATTCAGCACATTGTGTCCTTGGTTCATCATGTCAAAGGTATGTATTCAGTTTATCGTACCGAATACACATCTGGCAACTTTAAGCCTGTTTGCTGTCTCTAGTACAGGAAGATTTCAGCCCTCTTTCAATGTTGGTTTAGTCAGACTTTCTTCCTTTTGAGGTACACATAAAAATAATTAGAAAAATAACAGCCATAGAAGCTAGTATCAAAATACTCCATGCAATGTAGAGCATAATAGCAGGTTTACTATGTTTCTGGATAAATTTTTGAGCCTAAGTAGTGTATAAAGTTTGATTTTTTTTTTTTTTTTTTAGTGTCGTTTAAACATACTGCGTTGATCAACCTTATTTAGTTGCATTTTAATAGCTCTAACATACAATTTTATAGTAAGTGGTGCAGTGTGGGTTGACATGTGTCTTTTGTACTGTAAATACAATGGCATTCCTTTTGGAGCACCCCAGAGCTCGTTTCCAGGTTCTTATTAGAAGGCGTTGTTTTGTCTCAAGATTTAAAAAAAAAAAGTGCTCTAAATAATCCTAAATTACACTGTGATATTTCATTTTATTCCCATTTGACAGTATTGCAGTGCTGGAGCCAGGAATTTCACATACAGGAATTTGGCAGTGGCTACATAAACCTCCTTTAAATTAATTGTATGCTAACTATTTCCTGATTTAACAGTAGTGGCTATTGCTTATTATAAACACCGCAAACCCCCCAACTAAACAAACACCCCCTCACATGCCCCCCTGCCCCAACCAAACCCAGACTATCAAACTAGATGTATTTCGTTTAGGTCACAAAACCTGTCAAAGTTTTTTGATGCAAAAATAGGTAATTCCTTAAAATTGAGTAAGGATATCTGGAGAGTTCTTTAAAAGCCTTTTTTTTTTTTCTTCAATAACATTTACTTTATTTCACTGGGTTGTTGTCTTGTTCTTGTGTTTAATGTACTGAGATAATATGGAAGAATTTATTGGTGAAAATAATTTTGCCGTATCATCATACAAAGGGGAAATGTGGAAATAATTAGGTGACCAGTTTCAGTGTATCTGTAAGCATTGTTTTTTACAATACTTTAGCTTCTGATGCTTTAGCTTCTAAAATTGCAAAGATTTGCGTGCTATGTGCTAGGGTTCCCTTAAAAGTCATCTTTTGTTGGCAAAATTCAGATTACTAAGGCCAAATGATTTCCTGCATTTTGAATTACTTACAAAAAAGAAAGTAATAGTCAACAATAATAAACTATGATAATGTATTAGATTAAAAAAATCTTAGACCTGTTTAGAGTATAATGATCTCTGTTGTCAAAGTATCTATTTTATTGATATGTAAAGAGGTTTAAGGCTCAATCCAACAAGAGTTTCTGTAAGTTTTTGCTTATATGGTACATATGTAGACTGCAGGTGAAATAATGTTCCTGAAACTCTCACATGTTGATCACAGAATAGACTGTTTTTCAGTAAACTTTTGTATGTTAAACAAATACTTGGTAAATGTAACAGCTTAACAGCCTGTCTGGTGAAGTTATTAGAATATGTACAGTTATGGTTGGTTTTGAAAGCAGAACCTCTCTTTAAGTTTCAAATTTACTGTGGTCTGTGATCAGATTTTAGTAACTTTTGACAAATTGAAGTTATGTTCATTATTGGTGTGATGCGACCAGTCTGAACAGCTCTTTATTAATGTAGAGCTGAAAATGCCCAGTGATGTTTTCTTTTTCATTGTAACTAGGTCCTGGAATGTGTTTTGAAATGGCAAAATCCATGTTACAAAAGTAAAATAGCTGTTGAAAGATACAGATGCCAAACAGGCAAAGTTGAACCTTCTGTCTTCCTGGCAAAAATGGCATAAAAACAGAGTTGCTAGCTCAAATTCCTGTGTTTGATGGAATTATGATTGAGGCACTACCCTTGTAGTGGCCGTTTCAAGTTTTAATGGTTGGTTATGAGACAAATACTGGATGCCGGGCGGTAAGTTGATACAGATGTATGTTGACCTGTTAAGCAGATAGCTTGCTTCATATGTAACATTTCATAGCTCATGACTTTATGTATTTCTATATTACATTTAAACACATTTGTTGAGCTGGTTTAAAATCTGACTTTTGCTGTTGCTAATTTAAATGTCTCTGAAGGGAAGAGAAAATTTGTCAGAGAAGCTGTCAAGTTTGCCAAGATGCCAGATGCTTAAATGAATTTATTTATGTATAGGTGTGTTAATTGTCTTGGATTGTTTATCATCACAACTTCAAATCAAGAAATCGTATTCCTTTAAGAAATGACTTGTTAGGTCATTCATGTAGTTATTGAAGCATACATTACTTAAGTGTTTTCACTGAATTAACTTTTATTTTAAGTTAAAGATGAGATGAATAGTAAAACGTACTTAATTGCAAGTATTCATGACTAAAAGTAACTTCATTTTCTCTTGTGGGCAAAGTATAACATAACTGTTAAGAAATTGCTCCTTTCTATTTCATTAGGGGAAAATGAGCAAGTCCAATCAGTAAATGATGCTTGAATTAGATGTAATACAGTCATGGCATAGTTATACATAGACTTGCAGTGATGCTGTGCACTGTTATTTTGTTTGGGTTACAAAATGTGTAAAAATAGGGAAAATGCCACATTTGCTTGTTCTGATAGATTTATTGAAAATACTGTGGTTTTGCCTGCTACTTGCCTTTCTGTCAGGAGTAAAATAGCTGTCAGTTGAATTAAACTAATGAAACAGTGTTTTTCTATTGTAACCAACAGAGCAATACTTCAAGTCAGCTGGAATGACCCTAAATGAGAGGTTCACTGCATATCAAAAAGCTACTGAAGAACACTGCACCCGGCAAAAGAGCCCAGAAATACATAGGTATATGTTAAATGTAAATGCTTTGTGTTTCAAATAATGTCTGCTAATACTTCTTCTGAGAACCCAAAATATTTTTTTTCTAATCTGCATGGAGTAATTTGTCAATTTCTGTGTAAATACAAAATACTTTAAAAACCCCACCAAACCCTCTTTCTGTAAAAGAGAACTCACCTGAGCCAAGTCCGGCTTCATCTGTGGTTTTGTAGCAGATGTCTTCTCTACCTCTGTACCTCATTTGGGATATATTTACTTTTCTCACATGCAGTGCTCAAATATTGAGGGGCATATGTCTTGAAGATGAAAAGAAGCCCTGTACATGCATCTTTATTCTTCAGTGTGAAATGTTCCATCTCATACTCCTTTAGTTTTTGTGTGTGTTAATTTACAGCAGTTTTTTGAAAAATCTGAGGGCCTGAAAGGTAAGAAATAGGCATGCAGATGTAATTTCTGTTCATGTGCTATAGTTTTAAGATGCACTGTACTATATTTGTGTTGCATGTGAGGATATATTATCCCCATAGTCAGTGTCCAACTTTATAAGTTTTCTTAATTGTTAAGTATTTTTGACTTTACAGCAAACTATTGTAGTGTTGATGATTTCTTGGGGGGGTGGGGTGGATTTTCAACTGGCTACATACTGATCTTTTGAAATAACTCATTAAACATTTTTTGTTTCTTCAGACCTGTGCTTAAAATGTGAAAAATCAAACTACCTATTTTTCTGTATTTGTGTCTTTAGCATGCGTCACAGTCACAGAGCAGAACCAAGGTTTTTAATTTTTAGTCTGCTGCTGTATTCTGATGGTGGGGTTTTATATGCAAGAAGTTTGTTCTACTGCAAAAATGCCTTGTTTTTTCATTTTCTGTTGAAAATAAATGTCTGAGGCCATTAACAGTCACATACGCATATGGCAAGACACTGCTTTTATTTTACATCTAGGAGGATTGACATCTCTCCAAGTACCCTGAGGAAGCATACCCGTTTAGCAGGTGAAGAGAGAGTATTTAAAGAAGAAAGTCAAAAAGTAGGTTCCTAGTAAACGTCCTATCTGTATTTCTAAACTTAATTTATTTTGTTTCCCTTTAAATCTGAACTTTAGTTTTGGCTTTGTGTTTGTGTATAAAAATACAAAAATAATTTGTATTTATTGTATCTGCAGTATTTGCATTTAGAATTTTTTTTTTTGAGTAATACATTTTACCAAGAGGCCAGTTTACGTAGCATCGATTTTGCTATATTGATAACGTGGCATAGAAGGTCAAGTTTTCTCCCACCCTTCCTTTCTTCTTGGACATTTCTTGACCAATTTTGTGGCACTAAGCTGCCCAGGGACAAAGAATAGAAGAGGGGGGAAAAAAACCTACTAAGGTGGTCAGTGAGTAGTACGGTTGAATCGCAAAGGTGCTTATGCTCTGCTAAAAGCAATTCACCAGAAGAAATAAATACTTAAATGTCCTCCCAAACCATGTCTGTTTGCATCAAAAAATAGATAACCCATTGGCTTGATGGGAATGCTTGTTTGAAACTGAAATTCTTAGCTGTTCTTTTTTTAGATCTAGCCATTGCATGTAAAGGGCATTCACTTAAAGTCAATTTTTGTGCTGAAGAATTTGTTGAAAAATAGGTAAATTCTATCTCGTTTTTTTGAAAATTGGTGTACAACTTCCCTTTTTGTTCAGATTCTGTTCTGGATGTTTTATTTCAAAATTTTGTTCCAAAATATGTATTTGTTTACAGGGAGATAAAAAATTAAGGTGTGATTCTGCTGATCTTCGGCATGACATTGACCGACGTAGAAAAGAGCGAAGTAAAGAGCGAGGAGACTCAAAGGGTTCCAGGGAATCCAGTGGGTCAAGAAAGCAGGAGAAAACTTCAAAAGATTACAAGGATTACAAATCTTACAAAGATGACAGGTAAATATTTCAAGTCCCTATATAGATTTTTAGCTTCTAATTAGCCTTTTGTAATTGTAAGCTTAATTGCTTTCAATTTTCATTGTATAATGGAACATTTAAATTTAAACAATTAAAATTATTTGTTTTACAGCAAATATGTATTATCTGTCTTTTACACGGCTTATGGTGGATGAGGACAAAAACTTTGGAATAGCAAGCTAACACTGAAAAAAAAAATGACAAATTAATCTGTCCTATTATCCAGGCTACATCAGGAGGTTGGACTTCAATGCAGTACATTTCTATAAACAGTTTGTGTAAGAACTTTGGTTCGTTATGCTTGATTCCGCACTTTTTCAACTCATAACACCCAGAGTATGAGAATCTTACTGATACTTAGGTTTTAACATGGGTGAGAAGGGGAATTTTTATTTTTGTCTAAAGCCAGTGGGCTGTTTTTTAAGGAAAAAAAAAATTAGCATATCTCAGTGGATACTGTGTAGCAGTGGTAAGAGTTACTTTCAGGTATGACCTTCCTTTGAATAGAATATTAAAATCTTGTAAATTGGGTCAAATTAGTGCCACTATGGGGTTACTAAAAGCCTTGCTGTAGGATTTTTTTTTTTTTTCCCCCTGCTTTGTACTGGATATACAATGAATTTTTACTTATGCTTTCTGTTTCCCATTTACTTTCTGACTTTGGTATCCACGTTACCTTCCACTGGCTAATTCCATACAGGCATCTACATAGGTTAGCCCACACCGTACCTTGTCAACAGTGTGCAAACTGAACTATGTAAAGTTACTGTAAAATTTTGCCTTGAGGGTTTTCTTCCCTTCAATTTCTGTTTTTCTGCCTTAGAAGAAAGGCAGACCTTAAAAGTAACAATCTCTCTGTGGCATCAAAACATAGAAAAACTGTATTTGCAGTTTGCAGACTGCTGCTTTCCAACTCAGTAGCAATAATATACATTTAGTGCTTTTAAATGTGTAAGAGGAGGCTGGAAAGTGGAACTATACTTCACCTTAACATCTGAAATATGTAACATATATGTGACTTTATAAGCAGAAGGGGGATAGCTTTTCATAAAATATAAAGAGACCCCTCTTAGTATAGCATGTTACAGACTGTCTAGTACTTTTAAAATAGCACACAGTGTATCTTTTTTATTTTTCAGTAAGCAAAAAAGAGATCAAGACCGTGCTCGGTCCTCCCCATCATCTTCCCCATCTTCCTCCTCATCCAGTTCTCGGGAAGAAAAGGATTGCAAGAAAGAAAGAGATGAAGAGTTCAAAACCCACCATGAACAGAAAGAATACTCTGGTTTTGCAGGAGTCAGCAGGCCAAGAGGCACCTTTGTAAGTTGCTCTTATTTTTCCCCCAAATTCTGAACACTTCACAAATAGTGATAGTATAACAAATAAAATGAGGAAGCACTGCAGCGATTAATGTTAGGCTAAACTTCTTTTGTAGCAGTGATTCTTGAATTCTTGTGTAATGTGCTAAATTAGAAAAGTTGAGGGTTTTTTTCCCCAGCATTGCCCAGTAGCAGTTAATTGGTGTGTAAATAAGCATTAGCATGCCATTAGAGACCTTAGTGTAATGGTGGGGAAAATGATTTCTTGTGTATTCCTTACTCTTTTGTAATTATGTTGTTTCCTAACAGGGTCTGAAAATTTACCTTTCTGTAAAGATTAAATCTTGTGATCTGCTACCTCTTAACTCCCTGCAGGTTCTGTTTTCCCCTGTCATTTTCAGTTTGGTTTTGCCCTCCTTTGTGTGTGATGCCTGCAACTTGTTAAATAGAGAATGGCACATAATTAAAAATACACATCAACCTTAAAACAGCTGTATTAAGGAGAGGAGATGGTATACTTGTTATTTTTCAGTGTTTCTTTGGCCTGGACTAGCCACAGTGAGCATGAAAGCTCATTAATTTATTTCTGGAATATGTTTTAGCATTGTGATTTGGAAAGTGACAAACTGACCACTATAGTCTTCAGAAAAGTTAAAAATTGCATGTTAATGTAATTACTAATAAATAATTGGGAAATGTAGAAGCATTATGAAAGACTAGGAATCAATTAAAGAGGCCTTGAAAAGATAAGGAATACTTTAAAAAAACCCCACCAAACTCAACACAGCAAAAAAAACCCCAACCCAAAATAAAACACACAAAACCCTCTAAGTGTCCCCTGTTTAGGTGGGGGAAAAATTGTCAAATAGACTTACATAATGGGTAGGAGTAATTTCATACTTTCACAGTAAGACTAAATAATGCTAAAAGACATTGTTTGGTTTAAATGTACATTGAATTATTTATAGTAGTGTAAAAGAAGTTTTGAACTACACACGTGGGGTGTGTTTCGAGGTAAGGTTTGAACCTTCCGTATGTAGAAGAAAATTCAAAATTCAAAATTTCTAACACTAAAAATGCATAATTTCCTTCTTTCTTGTCTTTTATGTAAGTATACCAAGGAATAGCTATGTGGGCATACCCTTGAATGTCGTAGGCATCAAATATAACAGTTTTAGCACTATTTCTTGCTGTATAAGCTAGTGGCACTGAGTTAAACAAAAACAGAAATTTAAAGCCCCTCTCCTCTCAAAGATAATCACTTGAAGGAAACTGAACTAGTGGAAGCCGTACTGCTTTATAAAACTGGATTGTGAAAGAGAGGCTTCTTTACATTAAACTTAAGTAGATGTGAATTGGAAATTTAATAGACATCTACTTATTTAACTCCTGGTGACTGCTAGTTCTGACTATGCTGTAATAACTGGTTAATGTTCCCTAACAACATACATAGTCACACACAAGCTTATTGAACAAACTGTGTCTGAACAGCAGAATCTAAATAGGCGAACCTGTTGACTCAAATCTTCTCTTAGGGATACAGCTTGGATAGTATTGAAATATACAGACTGGAGGAATGTCTTCATAATGCAGGCTCATAGTGGCTGCATTCCAGTAAATACTGCTTTGCTTTTGAAGTAAATAAAATGTTTTGGTTGTGAATCCTTTGCAAAGCAAGAAGTCTGTATACACGGGAGAGCATAGCTTGCTGCATAGGGGAGACTTTAATGTAAGCTAAGCTGTTGATTTCACATTAAATCAGCAATGGTTTTGCACTAACACTTGATGATAGACTGTCATATTTAATTCTAGGCTTCTTGTACATAAACATGAATAGTTTTGGAGTAGGAACACAGAAATAAGGATAAGTAGACTCTTTTAATGACAGTGTCATTAGTATCTAGCTCCTAAAGAATTCTGTGGGTAACAGTTCTGATCTAAAAGGAGTTTTCTCTTTCTGTAGAAAATACACTCTGTCCTTTTTGTGATGGTCTTTGCAGTGAGTAAGCCCATAAAGATTATCCACAGTGGATTTCACCTCCCATATGTCTTTACCTGAAAGATGACCTGGAGGCAAGAAGGGGTGGGGAGAGTGTTAATGTAGTGTTGAGGAAAGCTCTAGGTATTTTTCTTAAAGGGAGTCTGATCCCATGACCTAATGCCAGGAAATGCTGATGTCTCTTTGTTGTGGGTTTTTTTGTTTGGTTGGTTTTTTAAAAATCCTGTCATCATTTTGTCTCTACATCCTTTCCCCCCCATTATGATACTGCTTGTGCCCTAATTTTTGCAAAGGTTTGAAAACTATTGGAAATAAAGCATGTAATATTTCCTTTCTTGTACAGTTTTCTTCAAGTGATAGTCTGTTTCCAAGTTGATTCTCCGAGAATTTTTTTTTTTCCTACAGTGTATTGGATAGGTCTTAAGAGCCTTTTACGGATTGTTTTTCAGTCTGATTTCAAAGTAGTTTTAAAACTGTCCAGCATAAATTCTGTTGGAGCTTTGTGGAACTAAGTGTGCATAATACTCCTCTTTCAAGTTAGTCATTTATATCTTTTTTAATCTATGTTTATGGACCATACTTATTTTTAACACATTAAATTAATTTTTAGTCAGGTTTTTTGTACATTTAATCAGAAGACCTAGTTCTGTGTGTTTAACTAGGCTGTTTATGGAAGTTGTGTTCTGTAGTAACTGCAGGTTTTAGCAGTCTGTCTTCCCAGCCTAACTTTTCTTCCCCCCTTGAATGGAGGATATAAACATATATGGAAATAATGTTTTCTACATGCTAAAAATTTACATGCTGAGGGAACTGTATGTATTACTACTTAGTATATTCTGAGTTAAATATTTTCTTTTGTTGCTCTGAGACTTTTTAGCCTAACATTTTTAAATTCTGTTAATTCATTATAAAGAATATAAGACACTTCAAGTGTTGCTACTCTGTACGGTACATATTGTGGCTTTTTCTGAGTAAAGAATTTACTCATTAAAACTTAATTTGGCCTAAAATACATTTCTGAATCTCAATTGAAAATGTTTGAGTAACACCAAGTGAATATACTTATGTGGAAACTGCATTGTTTGTGTGTATTCTGGAATAATTTTCTCATAACCAATATGACTGACTGCATAAATGACCTTTCTTTCCTCCTGACAGTTTTTTCCTTCTTTCAATCTAGTTTTTCTGTTTGTGTTTTTTTTTTTTTTTTGTCTGTGAATAGCTTCTTCTGACCTCTTGTTGCAACACCCTGGTTTACCAGCAAAGGAAATTTCTTTGTAGTAGTTGTGGATGAATTTATGCCAAAAACTATATGTGTTTCAATTAAGTTTAATAGAATCATTACTTCAAAGTGAATGCTTGAATATATTACTTAAGGTAATATGTGAATTTTCTGAAACTTGCAGATACTGTAATTAAGCACAGAAAGCATTTTCAATAATAGAGAACTTGAATTCTCTTTGTGGTTTTATGTAAATGGATTAAATGACGTTTTGGTTAATCAGTTTCGAATTAGGGGCAGAGGAAGAGCCAGAGGAGTCTTTGCTGGAACAAATACTGGTCCCAGCAACTCAAATACTACTTTTCAGAAGAGACCGAAGGAAGAGGAATGGGATCCTGAATATACCCCAAAAAGCAAGAAATACTTCTTGGTGGGTGTGGAGAACTCGATATCTTATGCATGCTTTTGTTTTTTCAAAATTTCTACAAGCGTAGAAGTAGCATGCATGTAGGGACAGGGAATTTAGTTACATAACCATGAGAATATCGGGGCTCTTGTAGTGCCTGGTTCTTCTCTCGTGTCTTTCTGCAGCAGGCTGGCAATAACTGAGGCCTAACAGGGAATAAATCTCCAAAACTTTCATCAGTGGGTGGGGAAGAAGGCAGATTCAGACTGAAGTAATTAAAAACAAAATTTTAAACCAAAAAGGCTTGTGCTGTGATTTCCTGGATTTATGTCTGTATGGCATTTGAGCTTTCTCTTAGATTTTGTCTAGAACTCTGCAAAACTGGAAGATTAGGAAAAGTTGTCAGTATTTGTGGATGTGTGTAGGCTGACTGTTATTAGCAGTCCTTCTGTTCTTAGTTGAGTAGTGTGATAGTCATAAGAAAGTCACCTTAGTTTTGATGCTTTTTTCCCATCTGGATTATGAAAGAATGACTGTTGATGTAACCACCCAGTAAGTAGCGTATACTGACTATGTAGTCTCTGCTCCAGTTGATTTCTTTAACAATGCAAACTTCTAAGGGTATTGTTTCACCAAGTAGTGAAGATTAGGCTTTCTCCTATGGCATTATAGTTTGTCATAAATATGTTAGCAGGTAATCCAAGAAATAATACAATTACAATTTTGATGTTTGTACAAGGAGTTCTCCTCCATCTCCCCACACATATATGAACTCTTGAGACCTGTAAACCTAGAGCTGTGATAATGTATTCATTAAGAAATTCTATGAGGGCTAGAACAAATAACTAACTGTAGTGGTTAAACTTTTTTCTCATATCTAAAGATGTTTTTTAATTTAAAAAATAGTGCCACCCTTTCACTTTTTTGTAATATATAATTGTTAATAAACTGCTTTATATAGGTGTGGTATGTGTTTAATAGTTCAGATTTCTTTCCAAATCACAAGTAAAAAAAGTAGATGTTGAAGCAAGTGTACCTCACTCTTCTAAATATAAACCCTTTTTATATTAAATAATTGTCTATAGTGTTAATGCAGTACACGGAATGATTATCAGAAGACTTACCAAACTGTCTAAGGCTATATATTTGGTAGCAAGATAGCTGAGCTTATTAATCAGAGAAACTCAACTGTTGTTTGCTAATGTCAGATTTAAACAGTTTAAACTTCCTTTGCCCTATGTTGTGCAGGGGAAGCAGTGTTTCTGAAAACTGCCTTCAATGACTTTTCCTTAATAAGTCTAAAAACCTCTATCTCTGCATTGAAGTAAAATTTAAAAAAAAATCCTAGCATATTCTTAGACCTTCTTCCTTTAAAATCAGATTTTTTTCCCCTCAAAACTAGTAATTCTTTCTTCTGACTGAAGATAAGTGACAGAACTGATTTATTAGAAACATTTGAGCAGACCCACAGCTAATAAGGGCTCTTAAAACAATTTTATTGCTGTGGTTTTAGTTACGGCATCATGAATTGTAAGGGTATACTTCATAATGTATTCTGTAGATTATGATCTGAACTGTTAGAAAGTTCTCGGTTTTTTTTTTCCTATGTATAGTATAAATTTGATATAGAGTACCAACATTGTAGGGGTATATTTAAGAGGTGTTCTAACCATATTCTTTGGTATTATTGTAGCATGATGACAGAGACGATGGTGTGGATTATTGGGCCAAAAGAGGAAGAGGCCGTGGTACTTTCCAGCGTGGCAGAGGGCGTTTTAACTTCAAAAAGTCAGGTAGCAGTCCTAAGTGGACACACGACAAATATCAAGGGGATGGGATTGTGGAAGATGAAGAAGAAACAATTGAGAATAATGAAGAAAAGGACAGACGCAAAGAGGAAAAGGTAAACAGTTTAGTAAATTGCAAATTAGACAATTTATCTTGCAATATCTCAAGTAGTTGTGTGTATGCGGGGGGAGGATCACTTTAAAAGGTGTGGGAGTTTGGTTATTAACAGTTTACAACAAGACTGTTTTCTTTCTTTCCACAGGAATAACCTTGGAAGAAAGTTATAGCTGAAAGAGCAGCTCTTGCACCACCCACACAACATTTTTAATATGTTTTTTTGTTGTCAAATGAATGTAAGCATTTTACTTAAATTTTACTGTTGGAAAGTAGTTTAGAGGGATTGTTTTTGTTTTAAGCCTTTAGAAAAAAATCTTGATATAGTAAACTATGTTAATGATCGTACAGGTAGAAAGTAAAATATTTGTAACAACTTTTAAGAAATTTTACTGTTTGTTATATGCAGTGTAATTCTGCTTTGTCCAAATATATGGTCAAGTACAACTCTAAAAGTTTTGATTCTCCCCTATGTCTGTGTTTTATTCTGAAGTAAACTTACAGCTCTGCACACCTGAAATCTTGGAGCAGCATTTTTTATAAAATGATTACTACTTCTGTGTTGCCTTTTTATAAGAAGTGTATTTAAGGGTAGTTATCCACTTGTAGTGTAAGTACAAACAGTTGTGCAAAATGCTCATTATAAGTTAGTTCACAAGAACCACATTTACGTAGCGTGTCAGTGATAAACCTGGATTCTTATTTCACTGTGCTAGAGAGTGCAGCAAGAATTTTATCTTAGAGAGTGAAATTTTTCACTCTTCTTTAGAAGCCTGAGAAATACATATGTATATAAATACTCAAGTGAGTTTCAAGTGTATTATTTCCTTTGTGGGATGTGAGTTTTTGAAACCTATTTCCAAGTCACTGCTGCCAGAAACTTTTGAACAGATCTGAAAACTGGAGTTCCCTCCCTCATCTCTGTAGTTAGTGCAGAACTACCTACACCTAACTTACTTCCTGTAGCTTGTGTTTAGAACAGATGAGTCATGTATTATGAATACCTAGTGATTTGCTCTTAAAGGCAAAGATGCTTCTCTTGTCAAGGGTAACTTAGTACAATTTTCAAGGTTTTATAAACCTAGGGTTTAAACTCACTGCAAGAAAAATGTGCTGTCCGTAAAGTTTGAAGTACAAGTGGTGTTTTCAGGGCCACTAGTGATTATAGTTTCAGCTTTCTGTTGATAGCTTAATCATCAATAGAACACTTTACTTAAGGAATTGGTGGCAATATCAATCTAGCTTTTTTAATCAATTTTTGTTCCAGTTTATTAAAATGCCTCATTAATTTCTCTATGTAGACTTGCCTCTCTGGGTATGTAATCTGGCAAGAGTAAGTCTTTAGATCTTCTATCATGTTTACAGCCTTAAGTGAAATTAGATTGATGAGGAGGTGGGGAGGGAGGAAGACAAAAAAACCCCACAGAAATCCCTGAAAAAGTAAAGCAAGATGTGTTAAAACTGGAATCAGTAAAGATAGTTCAGATATACTAAAACATTTCTATAAAGTGTGAATTCCATTACAGTGCCCTTGAAGTACATTTCTTAGGTATTCCACTTTATACAAGGTGTAAATCTGAAGTTACAACTCGATGGTAAAAGTTAAGTTAGCAAAAGGTGTGAGAAATTAGTCTTAACTTTCTTTGCCACCGATTTCTAAATAGTTGTGCTTCTAGTATTTTTGTAGCCAAAGTGCAGAAGTTAGTTGACAGGTTTTTGTTTGGTTTTGTTTTGGTTTTTAAACCCAAAAACAACAAACCCACAAATTTAATTTAATGGTAGGTACACTTTTAACCTACAGAATGTTAAGGATGACAGTAACATGCTTGAATTAGCAGAACAAGGACATTCTGATACAAGACTGCTTAGGCTTTCTTTTTCACACTGTTGTAGATACAGTAAATCTTAATGTTCTATGGAGTTAATAGTGTAGTATTGTTCTTATTTTGCCCCTTAGAAGGACATAATGTCTTAAAAAAAAAAAAGCTTTGGTAGAGGTGTTTGTATTAAATACATACATAATGTACGCCCTCTTACTGGCTTTATTGTTGGGGAGTAGTTAATCATCTGCCTATCCAAATTAAACACCACAAGGCATAATAGTGTAGTACCGTCACTAATCCTAAATGTATTTGAGGAAATTGTGTTTCAGATTGTACTAGTTCACCAGCATCTGTGGAGAAGGGGAAATAGACTTAATAGTTGCCCTCTAGTGGTAGTCACTAAAGGGTCATTCCTGCCTTACGTTTGAGGAAGTTTAGGCAAACTATGTGGTTGTTGCAAGATCTACATTTACGTGTACAGTGCATCTTTTAATAGCTGTTTGAAATGTAAAACTGCTTATTCCTTGGACTTTTTAGCAAAGCTCACACAGATTTTAGTGTATCAGAAGAAGCAAGAATAAGAACAAAACAATAAACTTGGCAGCAGTGTCAAAGTCTGTCCTAATGAAGTTAAATTTAACATCAGTCTGAAACTAACAACTAGGACCAAGATATACTTGACCTATAACCTTAGAATAGATAATCTGTATCACCTTGGTCCAGTTGGAAAGTGGATTGTTGTGGTCTGTGTGTCATAAGGCAAGATAGTTCCTGCATGATGAGAGGCAGATTTAAGTTTTCTGCTTCAGTTGCATGTCCAAGGAAATATGGTTAGAGATTGCTTTGATAATGGCATTTGATCCTACAAACCTATCTGTAGGTTAGGTCATAAAAATTCTTTCATTATCCTTAATTTCATTGTAGTTTATTAAAAATGTCATTTGTTGATTATAGAAGACATGGTGACAGACATAAGTTTGTTTATTTAAAAAACTGCCTTAAATAAGATAATCTAATAGAAGATGCAAGTTGCAGTCTATCAGAGATCTATAAGAAAAAGAAACTAAATGGGAGTTGTCTTGGGTTTTTTTAAATCCAGAAGTAAGGCTTCAGTACTTACTAGTCCTTCACTGTGAATACTGAATTTTCACTGTCATGATAACGAAAAACATACTTGAGGTTATCATTAGGTGCTCCTGACATAGTTGTATGACTGTTGTGAATGGAAGTTCAGTGCATTTTGCACATCTTGTGTTAGATGGTAAAGATCATCATTGATGGATGTGTAGGAAAAAGAAAATCCAAGTATCCTACTGGTATAAAATGTTTAACTATGTTTTGAGTTCAGTAATTAATTCTGACTCATTGCTCTCCAGCAATGCAGCAGTTTCTGAATCCGCTTCATTTCTGTGTGGTGTCATTATGAAGTTTCAGGTTATCCTTGGAGTTCAGAGAAAATCAGACCTTCATTTCACTAAGAAGAAAAAAAAAAATCTAGTAGTTATACTGTTAGTCTAGACTCTCTGCACTCATTCAGTGTCTTGGTTTGGGATTAAATCTCTCATCGTCTTACTTCCCAGGAACAATCGGTACCGTTAGTGTAACAGTGGGCAGCTACACGTGATGAAAGCTTTCCTACATTAGTTGTGCTGTGCTGGTGCTTCAAAAGCAGAGCTGTTACGTAGCTTTGATTTATCTCCAGAGGTAAAGGCTGCAGCATTTAAGTCTGAAGCCCCGTGTCACTTCTCCTCGTTTCTTGAAGCTTGCCATTCACAAAATCCTTTTGTTTAAGAGATCCTGCAGGTCCTATCTGTGCTGTTCAGGGTTGTACGCGCTGATGACTTGAAGCGTTTCTGTATGAGTTCCCAACTGGCACATCCAGTTGCAAAGCAGCTGCTTGGTGGTGGTGATGCTGTCAAACTAAATTGCCTCAGTTTTGCTGTTGCTTTTGAGACCTTGCTGTTTCCTAGCTTTGTGGTAGAACCATGTGCAGTTGTTTCCATCTGCTCGTGCCTACACGTCCTGTTCCTTACTAAGAAGGTGTTGGAGAAGTGGGTGAGCAGTACATTTTGTTAAGGCAAGTACTGTAGCTCAGTTTTTCAAAATACCCATTAAAAAGCCCTACCCTTCCTCTTCTCAAGCTTATAAACCCTCCTAGGCCCCTAATAGGCCCTTAAAACAGCTTTATACTGTTAGTACTGGTAGTACAAGCTGTAATTATTTCCTCCTTTGTGTTTGGCCTTAGAGAATCAATCCACATGACAATATAGGGATAATAGTGACTACAAGAACAGGCAGTAACAGTTGTGTTGCAGCTATGTGTTGCAGTTACAGGATTTTGTTTAGGAACTGTTGCTAACACATACCTGTAAACATGAATAAAGAAAATGTCTGATAATCCCATTTATCTTAATTTCTTGAAAGCTTTGGTGAAATTACTGCTATTTGGAACAGTACAACTAGGTCTTTGAAAGAATTTGTAGTTACATGCAGGTAACACTGCATAGCTGGAGGGAGATGATCTCTATGTTTCTTCTCCTTTAAGTAGAAGCAGTCTTTATTTTGTTACGCTTTCTTGGCTCGCTTGCAGATTTCAGAGTTTAAGCAAAACAGCAGAAATGGTGACAAGATAAAAATCAAAAAGCCTCTGTTAAGAGCAAGTACAGTATCCAAAGCCAGATTTCTTAGGTGAAGTGAATTTAGTGGCATCTGCATTTGAGGGTACTTTGTGTATTGAAACTCTGCTGCTATCTTGCTTTTTAATTTTTAGAACAAATGAGTTAGTTTACTATGTAGAGGACCTAAAGCATCTCATTTCAGTTTAGCTCCTTACTATGGCCCCATCATGAATTCACTCATCTCTTGCTCTAGTGTGCTTCTTCTGTTGCTGTGTACTCTGGTTCTGCTGTTGCACACACTGAAGTTTCATTTTCTCACCACTAGAATAACACGCATCATTCCAGCACATGAAATTGCCTCAGTGGTATGTGCAGGAATATCCGTCCCATCCCTGTGCAGCAAACCCCAATGTTACTCAACGGAAACCACTGGTTGGTCGGTCGGTCGGTCAGTCAGTCAGGCGTGAGGTGCTGGTGCTCAGTCGGGGTTGTGGTGGGAGCTCTAGCAGGACCGTGGGCCCGACTCGGCAGACA